GGTAGATCGGGCAAAGATTTCGGCTATTGAGAAGCTGCCACCTCCTGCGAATGAAAAGGCTATTCGGAGTTTTCTTGGGCATGCCGGTTTCTATAGACGGTTTATTCGTGAATTTTCTAAAATTTCGAAGCCTTTGAGTCAATTACTCGAAAAAGATATTGCTTTTAATTTTTCTGCTGAGTGCTTGCAGGCATTTGAGACGTTGAAGAAAGCATTGGTGAGTTCTCCAATTTTGGTGGTCCCCGATTGGTCTCAACCATTTGAGATCATGTGTGATGCGAGCGATTTCGCTGTTGGAGCAATGTTGGGCCAGCGACGTGATAAGCTTTTCAGAGCCATTTATTATGCGAGCAAGACACTTGATGGAGCCCAACAAAATTACACAACCACAGAAAAGGAGATGTTGGCTGTTGTCTATGCCTTTGACAAATTCCGTGCTTATTTGATCGGCACCAAGACGATAGTGCATACGGACCACGCAGCAATCAAGTATCTATTTGACAAGAAGGATGCTAAGCCACGCTTGATTCGGTGGATTCTCTTACTACAAGAGTTTGATGTTGAGATTCGGGATCGTCGAGGTTGCGAGAATGTGGTGGCGGACCATTTATCGAGGCTTGAGTATAAACGGCAGGAGGCCGATACCACCAGTGACATTAAAGAGGAGTTTCCCGACGAGCAACTCTTAATGGCTGAGGCAAAATTTTCTTGGTACGCCGACATTGTCAACTACTTGGTGGCCGGAGTCTTACCCCCGGACTTGTCATTCTATCAGAAGAAGAAATTTCTCCACGACGTGAAGTTCTATATGTGGGACGAGCCTCTTCTCTTTAAGAGGTGTGCCGATATGATCGTTCGACGATGCGTTCCACAAGAAGAGTGGGATGGAATTCTTCAGCAGTGTCACTCTTCACCGACGGGAGGCCACTTTGGAGCAGCTCGTACCGCGGCAAAGGTATTACAAAGTGGTTTTTATTGGCCGACTTTATACAAAGAGTGCTATATTTTGTGAATCAGTGTGATCGATGCCAGAGGATGGGCAATATTTCTAGACGCCATGAGATGCCTATGACGAGTGTGATCGAGGTCGAGTTGTTCGGTGTTTGGGGGATTGACTTCATGGGTCCGTTCCCTTCATCATGTGGAAACCGGTATATATTACTTGCAGTTGAGTATGTCTCTCGTTGGGTGGAGGCAATTCCCTCGAGCACCAATGATGCCGCTGTTGTTCTCAAGTTTCTGAAGAAAAATATTTTCACACGGTTAGGGACCCCGAGAGCCTTGATCAGTGATGGGGGTTCTCACTTTGTGAATAAATTAATGGAGAAGCTTCTTTCGAAATATGGCGTCAAGCATAAAGTGGCCTTAGCTTATCACCCGCAAGCAAATGGGCAAGCAGAGGTGGCGAACCGAGAAATCAAGCACATATTGGAGATAACGGTGAGCACAAATCAGAAGGATTGGTCGTTGAAGCTCGATGATGCACTTTGGGCCTATCGCACGACATATAAGACACCATTGGGATCATCTCCATACATGCTTGTTTTCGGTAAGTCGTGTCATCTTCCGGTTGAGTTAGAGCATCGAGCTATGTGGGCTGTGAAGAAGATAAACTTTGATTTTCACGAGGCGGGTAAGAAAAGGCTTCTCGATTTGAATGAGTTGGAGGAATGGCGAAATGATTGTTATGAGAATTCGAGAATTTACAAGGAGCGAACGAAAAGGTGGCATGACCGGATGATCCACAAGAGAGAATTTTTTCCGGGAGAACAAGTCCTTTTGTTTAATTCACGATTGAAGTTATTCCCGGGAAAATTGAAGTCGAGATGGTCGGGGCCTTTTGTGATTAAGAAGGTGTTGCCACCGGGAACAGTTGAATTGGTTGCACGTGATGGAGAGACCTTTATAGTCAACGGACAATGGATCAAGCACTACTTTCATTCGTACCAAAATGAGAAATTGTCCTACATGACTTTGAAGGAACCGTGATTCGTACAGGCGTCTGGCTGAAGACGTTAAACTTAGCGCTAGTTGGGAGGCAACCCAACGGTTTTATTGCTTTCTTGTTTTTATTTTTTGAAGGATAATTTTTATTTTTGTTCATACAAAAAAAAAAAACAAAAAACAAAAAACAAAAAAAAATAAAAAAAAATAAAAAATAATAGCAGGGATGTGACACGGCCACGTTACACGGCTATTCTGGCCGTGTCGCGGACCGTGTCACATGGACAGAAAGCTCATATGCTGAAGGGTGTGACACGGGTGTCG